CTAAAGAATTTTACGAAAAAAAATTTTGCAAAAACTTTACAAAAAATCTCATTGTGTTACTCTGTGTTGAAGAATCTATGGTTTCTAGTTGCCGCAATTCTTGTTCTTTAATGGATATACACCAGTACGTTTGCCTACGTCGTGCCTTACAATGGCTCCGAAATTTGCGAGCGTTGATCTGCCCAGTATGCTAAATAAGGAAGAAGCGCCGATCAATCTTCATGAGCAAATGCGTAAGGTACGGAGTGTTTGTCTTGAGTTTTTCTAATTTCAAACCAAAAGATTTTGGATAAGTTTAAAAACAAACGCCGGCTTGTTTGCTAATCTTGGCTTGGTTTTTAGGATCCAACGGCTGCATCTGTGCGTCCTTTGGCAACAGTTCCGGAAATGCAGGTTCTTCCAGTTGCCAAGCAATCCATACATGGTGTACGAGGTAACTACTGCTCTTGTACAGCTGAAAGTATCACAGATAATGTTTGGGAAGTATGATACGGACCTGAGAGTGATTGCAGATGCTGATAAGGGAATTTGTGTTCTGGTATGATATTTCGGTCGGTGGTATGATAAGTTCGTGATTGTGTGTTTTGGTCGGTGGATGAGCCTTTCGTGTTTTGTATGGATGATACGCCCGTGATTTTGCATGTTCGTGTTTGTGTTCTGATGGATAAGCGTCGGTGGGTGAACGTTTTGTATGCGTATGATACGTTGTTCGTGTTACGTAATGATACGGATGAAAGTATGATATGTTCTTGTGTTTGTGTTCTGATCGATGAATGAACGTGTTTTGTATCAACAAAACCAAAAGTTTTGTTGTGTTAACCTGTCCTGGATCTAATAACTACTGCCTTCGAAGAACAAGCTTCTGCCACACTTCCGAACGTATGCCAGTGGCAGGGTGATTTTTTGAGAACCGTAAGTGTTCGCTTCAAGCCGCACTTTCCTACTTTGAAGCACGGTGGTGATGCAGTACTTCCTAGGTATCACTTTCGATTTATCGCTCTTACTAGAGACAAATATAGTGATGCAATACGATGTACCATGGAAACAAAAAAAAAAAAAAAAAAAGAAAAAAATGCGTTAAAATTGATACACTGATACGGAATGCTGCATTATAGTGAACAGTAGCGTACGAAAATAACAGCTAATCAAAGTGATCTGGGTCATTTAAAGTGAAGCTGTTTCGCTTTTTCTGTTATGTATTTTTACTGGCCAGTGAATTTATACTTCCAGCATTTACGGGTGCAGTACCGGGTGAACAGCCAGGGGACTGCTACCTTGCGGAACTCT